TTATCACTGTTGTTAAGTCCTGAGTATATCAATATTTCAATATTAGAAATCTGGGATCAGTAATTCTCTTTATCACATTGACTTTAATGTGAATAATGTAGAAATGCGAGTAACTTTCTTTTTTCTTTGAGTAATGAATTTGTTTTGTTACAAAGCAACTGACATGGTCTTGACGACAATTATTGTTGTATGAAACATGTGACAATTTTATGACAGACATGGCACTGGACACAGTGCAGGCAGTGTTGCAACTATGTCACAGAAGCAAGGGTTTGAATCCAGCTGAGTGGAGAAGTCTGATTAAAAATGTACACTATTAAAATCAGATTAAACATTAACAAATATGTTTTCTTTAAATCTGAGCTGCCTCTGTCTACATTTTGGTGAATAACTTCAAACATTTAATCTTTTAAACCCATTAATCCAACATTATTCATAACCGGAAATAAAAACTAGATCAAAATCAGTAAATACCTTACTACAATCAAATAATTAAATAACACTCCAATTAAATTTATATCTTATGATTAATATATGATTATAGAAGTGTTAGTTTTGATTGTCACAATTAATCATAGAGGGATTGGCAATTTTGACATCCTTATTATCCGATGTAACAAGAACGTGCTGTTCCTTTGCTTTACGTTTTGTCTTATATATAAACATGATAAATGTTTGGATTTTCATGAAATCAGAATTGATATATTAATTTGTCCTATCATTAAGGAAGGGGCAAGATATAAGCAAATCAATACATGTTTTTCTTGTTTACAGTTTCACATTATAGTTTTCTAGATAATAAGCCCTTTTTTAATGGGCTATAATACTCCAGTAGGATTTTATCAAAAATTTCTACCATATGACATTTTTGTATATCTTGTATTGCTGATCAGTATTGCTGTTTACAGTTTCAATCTTTCTTTTATAATTTGCAAGATATAAGGTAAAGACTTAAAATAAGTTTAAAACTAGAGTTCTCTGCAAAGTACTTTGCAGGACACTAATCAGACAAGGTTTTATTATTTTAGGGGTATATGACACACCCCAAGCTCATGATACAACTGTATACCAATATGATTAACATACCTTATAAGAGTACTAAAGTTATGAGCTGGACACGAATTGGACAAGGTTTTACTATCATAATGGTAAAAGGTTAAAGTCAGGGTCAGAGTGACCTGACTTTAGAATGTGACACATCCCAAGCCATGAGGCAACTGCATACCAAGTTTGGTTAATTTAAGTTTTTGGTACAAAATGTATGTGATGGACACATATTGGACAAGGTTTTACAATCATAGGGTTCAAAGGTCAAGATCAGAGTGACCAGACCATGGTTTATGACACACCAACAGCGCATCTTTACTCGATAGTTGTTTTTGTTATTGACAATTTATCTCTTGTCTATTTTAGTTTACAAGATACTTTCCAAAAATGCAATATATAAGAAGTTGTTTGATAATTCTTAACAAATATTTACATTTGTAGATAAAGGCTTTGTGAAAGCTTCAAGGTAATAATTTTATTTTATCTATCTTTTACACTTTTTAGAGAAAAAAAAACAAAATAAGATGTTGACCCCTCTGTTCTATTTTATCAAAAGCAAAACCATGATTGTTGAAGGATCAAATCCCAAAATTCAATTTACAAAGGAAAATATAGGTAAAGTTTTGTAATATACACCCAGTAGCTTCAGGAGAAAATTAATTAACCTAGAGGATGACAGTGAACAACTCCAAGTGATGGAAAGAACTGACATGAATTTTTTGGTTTAGGTGACCTTATGAAGTTGAATTTCTCACTTACCTAGAAATGTGACTTATCATATCATGAGTGTTCTATTTACTCTATGACATCATTAAGTAACTAGAGGCTCTCAAGAGCCTGTGTCGCTCACCTGACTCTACTTTGGTTTTAGAAATCATGTAAAGATAGATAAAAATCATAACAGATACCCAAATAATGATTGAGGCCAAATTTTGATTAATATTGGTCCCGTTATTTAATAAAATATCATGGTGGCCATCTTGAACAGTAAATCGGCAACAAAGTAGCAACACTTGGTCAGCACTTCATGAGGAACATTCATGCCATGTTTGGTTTCATTCCATTCAGTGGTACTCTAAAAGAAGACATTTGTATGTATTTCCCATAGGGTCCTATGTTAAACTAAGCCCCCCCCCCCTAGCGGCCATCTTGGATGATGGATCGACTGCAAAGTAACAACACTTGGTCAGCAACTCATAAGGAACATTCATGCCATGTTTGGTTCAATTCCATTCAGTGGTTCTCTAAAAGAAGACAATTGTATGTATTTCCCATAGGGTCCTATGTTAAACTAAGTCCCCCGCTGTCGGCCATCTTGGATGATGGATCGGCTGCAAAGTAACAACACTTGGTCAACTTCTCATAAGGAACATTCATGCCATGTTTGGTTCCATTCCATTTATTGGTTCTCTAAAAGAGGACATTTTTATGTATTTCCCAAAGGGTCCTATGTAAAACTAAGTCCCCCCGCTGGCGGCCATCTTGGATGATGGATCGGCTACAAAGTAACAACACTTGGTCAGCATCTCATAAGGAACATTCATGCCATGTTTGGTTTCATTCCATTCAGTGGTTCTCTAAAAGAAGACATTTGTATGTATTTCCCATAGGTCCTTTGTTAAACTAAATCCCCTGCTGTCGGCCATCTTGGATGATGGACCGACTGCAAAGTAACAACACTTGGTCAGCACCTCATAAGGAACATTCATGCCATGTTTGGTTTCATTCCATTCAGTGGTTCTCTAAAAGAAGACATTTGTATGTATTTCCCATAGGGTCCTATGTTAAACTAAGTCCCCCCCCCTAGCGGCCATCTTGGATGATGGATCGACTGCAAAGTAACAACACTTGGTGAGCACATCATAAGGAACATTCATGCCATGTTTGGTTTCATTCCATTCAGTGGTTCTCTAAAAGAAGACATTTGTATGCATTTCCCATAGGGTCCTATGTTAAACTAAGTCCCCCGCTGGCGGCCATCTTGGATGATGGATCGGCTACAAAGTAACAACACTTGGTCAGAACCTCATAAGGAACATTCATGCCATGTTTGGTTTTATTCCATTCAGTGGTTCTCTAAAAGAAGTCATTTGTATGCATTTCCCATAGGGTCCTATGTTAAACTAAGTCCCCCGCTGGCGGCCATCTTGGATGATGGATTGGCTACAAAGTAACAACACTTGGTCAGCACCTCATAAGGAACATTCATGCCATGTTTGGTTTCATTCCATTCAGTGGTTCTCTAAAAGAAGTCATTTGTATGCATTTCCCATAGGGTCCTATGTTAAACTAAGTCCCCCGCTGGCGGCCATCTTGGATGATGGATCGGCTACAAAGTAACAACACTTGGTCAGCACCTCATAAGGAACATTCATGCCATGTTTGGTTTCATTCCATTCAGTGGTTCTCTAGAAGAAGTTCAAAATGTAAAAAGTTTACGCCGACGCCGGACGACGACGGACGACGCCGGACGACGGACGACGGACGCCAAGTGATGAGAAAAGCTCACTTGGCCCTTCGGGCCAGGTGAGCTAAAAATACTGGTACTTAATGCAGTAAAAACATTTAGGTCTACTTCCAACTTAATTTTTCTTTATATGTTAATTCTTTGTAAGTTTAATAGTTTCTGGTTAAATTAATGTGCAGTGTATGGTGTACTGATCAACCATAAAGATGTATATCTCAGCTTAACATCCACGTGTCTGTCTAGCAGGAAGCTAGACCTTATGAACATACAGGTTGTCTAGTTACTGAATAATATACCTGTCATGTTAGATCACCACAAATTCACAATATTAATGTTAAGCTTTCTAAGATAGAAATACATGTAAGATTTTAATAACATAAAGGTAAGAGGATCAAGGGGTCAAGGTTCATTAAGTTTTAATCTGTCCACAAACAATAAAAGGACTTTCTTATTCTATTTTGTGACCCTACTACCTGTTAATCTATATGTTATTGGAAGAGTTTCTTAGCAGATTTGACATTGAACTAAAACTAAATTTACACCCACAAGTAATTTGAAGGGAAATTTCCCCTGGCAGTGCTGACCTTAAAAGAAATTGGTTATTGTTTTTTGGTTCTTGAAAAGTTTTGATGTTATGAAATTGTTATACTGTTGGTAGGTACACTGTGTATGTTTTTAAACATGTTTTGTTTTCACAACATATAATCTAGATAAGCAAAAAGGATGGTTCATGTATATATGTAAAACTGGTTCAATCCAACCACATTCTGTACCAAGTCAGGCTATCTGGGCCATTTGTTGTTCATTGTTCTCTTTGTTTGTATGTCTGTTTTATTGGAAGGAGTAAGGTGTTGTTGTACTGTGCAGTATTTTTGGCTACTTTTGTTACCCCTTTTTATGTGTATCAATTTGGCTTTAAAGTAATGATGAGAATACTGGTAGAGAATATTGTGGTGAAGACCCAAGGAGACTTGACACAATTTACATACAATGTATTGATATGCATACTAAAAGTGAAATTTGAGGTAAAGGCCTGAGGTGACTGCCACAATTAACATATTGATAGAGAAATTTGAGGTAAAGGCCTGAGGTGACTGCCACAATTAACATACTGATAGAGAAATTTGAGGTAAAGGCCTGAGGTGACTGCCACAATTAACATACTGATAGAGAAATTTGAGGTAAAGGCCTGAGGTGACTGCCACAATTAACATACTGATAGAGAAATTTGAGGTAAAGGCCTGAGGTGACTGCCACAATTAACATACTGATAGAGAAATTTGAGTTAAAGGCCTGTGGTGACTACCACAATTAACATACTGATAGAGAAATTTGAGGTAAAGGCCTGAGGTGACTGCCACAATTAACATACTGATAGAGAAATTTGAAAATATGACTTTGACATTTGGATATTTAAGAGTAAATAATTCACTAACATATTAGATGGGGTATTATAGGGGAGACATTAATATATAAATGTACATACCTATTTTTCCATCTCCATACTTGTGTCCTGCTACTTGGGTAGGCAGAGGTTTTGTCCCAGGAGGCAACTGGGGAGAATTAAGAAACTTAGACATCAGTGCATTTCTTTATTTGTCTGAAAAAGAAGACAAGACATGTAGTGTATAAACAGAGTTTTCCTCATATAAATACCCATCTACTTGACAGTTTTAGTCATCTTCTTTTCTGTAAATAATAAAACTTAGCAATGAAAACTTTTAATATCTAGTTGTTCCATGTAAGGTATCGATCTCAATATCAACTCAGAGGAGAGTTTTTTCAAGTTTACAACAGATGACAACAGGTGTCAAGTTATTGCAATAGATCACATGGCGCCTTTTAGGTCAGGTGAGCTTAAAAAGACCTAATGGGGTATAAATTTATTGCAACAATTTATTTATTTTTTTCAATTTAGGAAATATATTTAAAAGTGCAGCACTAGTAACTAATCAGATAAAGTCATAAACTGTTGGTTAAAAAGTTAAGTGGATAACCATTTGTTACTGACATTGATTCCTTGGAGATTTTCAAATGAATCAATCTCACAGATTTTTCTCAGTTCTGTATAAGCAATTAATCGAAAGTTACTTCTTTTGATCTGAACAAATGCACTTAAATATTTTCACAAATTCATAATGAAGATTTTTTGGCACTGTAAACTAATAACTAATGTAAATTAATATCTAAAACGAGTTATTATCATAATCTATTTTATTTGTTTTAGTGATTAGTTCTAGTCTGTTGATAATGTCACAAATACAATTAAGCAGTCATTTTACTGTTTAAAACTTTTAACCTAATTATCTATTAGTAGTTCTAAACTTTTTAAATCCAGTTTTCAAACAACCCTACCTTATAAAGTGTAATTTCCTGTCTCCTTAAAACCATTTCAGGAGTTATAAATTATTACTTATTGATTCTTCTCTTTATTGGAAAGTATGAATTAAAACTAATTACCAAAGAGTTTTTAAAAGTCGGTACAAAAACAGAAATCAAATACATTTTTCTTTTGTTACCTATTCTGACATCAGACCCGGACTTCTTTTAAACAGAGTTTTACTGTGCGTATTGCTGTGTGTTTGTTTATTCTACATTGGCTAGAGGTATAGGGGGAGGGTTGAGATCTCACAAAACATGTTTAACCCCGCCGCATTTTTGCGCCTGTCCCAAGTCAGGAGCCTCTGGCCTTTGGTAGTCTTGTATGTTTTTTAATTTTAGTTCATTTATATGTTTTGGATTTAAGTGTGACATCCATTTTCAATGAACTGATACACATTTTTATTTAGGGGCCAGCTGTAGCCCGTCTCCGGGTGCGGGTTTTTCTCGCTGTGTTGAAGACCCATTGGTGGCCTTCGGCTGTTTTCTGCTCTTTGGTCGGGTTGTTGTCTCTTTAACACATTCCCAATTTCCATTCTCAATTTTATGTAGTAAAATCATTTAATCATTCAATGAACCAAAAGACATTAATTCCTAACCAAGAATTTTGCTTCTAAATGTCAATATAAGCTTAATTGCAATAAAGCATTGCTATGAAATATATCATTTTCTTTAAAGCTACTACCAGTTAACATGAAACAATGATATAAATACAGGTCCAGTGTGCATGCTAATTCACTGACCTGAGGATCTCACATTTCTATAACTAATTATGCCAAGATATGAAATTTCGGTCTCCAAATTGTTTAAAGGTAGGTATTATTATTAAAAAAATTTAAGGACCCAGAATAGGTCTTCTAATGCAAAAAAAAATTGAGCATCGTAAGATCCTCTACACAGGATCTGCATTTGATCCGATCCAGAATTCTGATCAATTTTACTCATGGAGAACTGAGTCATTAGACAGTGAAGTATGATCCGATCCAGAATTCTGATCAATTTTACTCATGGAGAACTGAGTCATTAGACAGTGAAGTATGATCCGATCCAGAATTCTGATCAATTTTACTCATGGAGCACTGAGTCATTAGACAGTGAAGTATGATCCGATCCAGAATTCTGATCAATTTTACTCATGGAGCACTGAGTCATTAGACAGTGAAGCAGATTCAGTAAATACTGAAACAAGTACAAAGAGACCTCCTCTAATTTTAGTAAAACCACTTTAAAAAGACTACTACCATTTGTGACAATCCTCTTTTGAAGGAAATCTTATCTTTAAAGATATCCACTTTAAAACCATTAGAATATCAAGTTTTGGTATTTAATAGGTCTTTTCAGTTTCCAAGATAAGACAAGTTTGCAGTATCTGCCATTACACGGGTTACTCAGTGTGCACTACATTTTTTATGTTATTTCTTCACAGACAGAAAAATATCACAGTCATTCCTTAATTAGAGGCTACAAATTTTGAAAGAAGATCTTGTGAGGTATCATTGAATTTTTCTGTGTAAAAAAGGCCCTCTTTGAAAGTTTTTACACTAAATTATGGATGATCAAATGTTAAAACAAGTTGAAACCCATGTCTCATTTTAAGAAACTTACTCAGTATAGTAATTTAAAAAGAAATAAATCTAGGCAACAAAACACTGAATTTTCTTATTGCTCCTTGTTGTAGGTAAAGACAATCTACAGTCATAACAGATCAGCCTTCTATATATATATAGAAAGGTTTGTAAAATATCTCATATATAAATACTGATATTAAATGGCATGCAATTTGTCACAACGTTTATCTGTATTTATGTTTGTGGTGTCACAATATATTTTATCTGAAGACTGACCACTTTTGTAGCTACAAATTAAAGTAGAGTAAATTAATTCACAAATTATCAATCAATTTTATATTAACTATTATATTGTATTGTATTATATTATATTATATTTTCATGCCATACCATTACTGAGGATAAACAAGTAATACAGTTATCCTAAAGATAAATATTTTTATATTTAATCAATATCCTTATTGACCAATCTATAAAACCTTACAGTTCATTGTTCCTATCTGTTTAAATAAGTACTCTATATTCAGAAGTGTTTGTGATGTTTTTCTTGTTGCATATAAAATGAACATATTTTATATATAAATACTTCACAGATATTTATTTCATAGCATGAGATTTATTTATCTGTAGTCTAAGTTATGTGGTGTTATAGTTTTGAGGATTTATTTCTTTTTTTAATTCCAAAAGCATTATTTTATTGTAGATAGAATTTCCTCAAATCTCCATTAATTCAGCTGACATTTGTGCAGATTAATTAACATTTGCATTTATAAATGCCAAAAATAATGTTTAATACTCATCTAGATTCTAAAACTGTATCAAATATAATACAATATTCCTCCACTCTAGACAGATAAATCTTCAATTTTTAATGCAGTGATTGTTTAAAGCTTTTAATAAATTAGAATTTAAATGTCAATATTGGGAAAAATATTGAATTGCGGGAGAAACGATTGTGAAATCTGTTTGTCTAATGATTTTAGATGATATATTGTAGGCAAACTTTTCATTCTTTGTCATAACCGGGTAAGCTGCAAAAAGTTCTTTCTGTCACTCAGAAACATAATCGTCTGCTAATTTGTCTCATCAAATGTCTTTGAAAGCTGTAAATATTGATCGTTTATTTTAGGACTAGATTGTCCTAAATAGGTTGTCCTAGTGCTAGACCTAAATAAGTAAAACTGATCCACTATGATTGACAGAGGGTTTTAAACTATATTTAAATATATAATAATTTAAAATGGTTTGAAATCATTTGACCTGGTTCTTTTTGGTATACTGGTGTATCTGGTTCTTTTTGGTTTACAAGTGTATCTTTAATCTGTCCTGTATATCCTTAACAAAATAACCCTTTATAAAAAAATTCGATCATAATTTCAAAATAATTCGGCTTTAACTCAATTCAGTGGTGGATCCAGGGGGGGGTTTGGGGGTTGGACCCCCCCCCCCCTTTTTTTTGACGATCAATGCATTTGAATGGGGACATATAAAGAGATAAAAATTAATTTTATTTCCAATATAGGACCCATTATAGGCATAATCAGTACATTGATTTTTTTATCACACAATTGCAATAGACAATACACAAGAAAATAAAAAATAGAAATACAACTGACAAAACACATGAAATATAAATTGAGTTAATAATACATGTAGTCACATAAACCAGTATGTTCAGTGTTTATTGACCATGCACCAGAAGCAGCATCACATCCATTATAGAAAAAGCTTTTGAGTTAAGTCCTTCCTCGTGGCTGATGCATATGAACAAATAGTATTATTGTTCATATGCAGGAGTCACCAAGGGCAGGTGCTTAAAGGACACTCAAGCCAATACACAATCAAAGCACTGTAAGCGCTGTAGGCAGTTAACCAAAAACCAAGCCAAACGTAATTATGAAAACTGTGGCAGTGTTGCTTCATTTTTTTTTTTAAGATTTGAAAGAACAAACATTAAACATTCGTATATTGTACATTTATGTTCATTAAATGAATTGATTATTAAGGCAAATTAATTAATATTTCATCAAGGTTTTCAAAAGCAACTCGTATATCAATGTAAATGACCCCCCATCTTCATCCCCATATGCATGATGTTACTCCATACCAAGTTTGGAATAAAATGACAGGTGATTATAAAACAGTTGGTCAAACATTCTCGGGCTTTACACTGCTTGAAAGAGTTATATGTTTTCTTTAAAATGAGCCATAAATGAAAATTATTATAGGCCCAGAAATAATTTAATAAATTATTAAAGTAAATTCAATTAACCTAGGCTCATTTTTTGCATCAATAAAATTTTATAATAAACAAGAAATAATTGTAACAGGATGCCGTCACGAAGTCTCCCAAACAAAGCCCCCATAATTCGTCATTCCGATGGTCTCCTGACATTGGGCAAAGTCCAGTTCATATTGGTTTGGTCTAGTAAAGTGATATGCATATGTGACACCTAGGAGATTGACCCTGTATGTCATTCAAATCTTTTTGAAATGATGAACAGGAATAAATATGGTTTAGGTGTGGGTATCTCGACCGTTTACAAGTTCTCAAACAGGAGGGGTGGGGTGACCCCAGGGACTCCCCCTATATTTCATTTGATTTGTTATATTGTCCGATACATGAATACATATGGTTTAGGGGTGGGGATCT